GGCGCATCGACTGATCCACATAGATCTTTAGAAGCGTGAACATATTATTTCTACAGATATCGGACGGGGGCTCAACAGCCCGCTTCTCTGCCAACAGGACTCGCTAAGTGAGCCGGGACAAATCCCCTGTAACTGTAGATAGGGAAAGCGGTCTGTCCTTCTGTGGATATAATAATAATAATAATAATAATAATAATAATAATAATAATAATAATAATAATAATAATAAATCGCTATTAATGTAATCGACAGCAATGGGACACAATAAGCTGGCTGTGTTCCCTGCCAAAAGCCTTTGCCACATTTGTTCTGACATGCTTATTCTCTCTTCTAGGCTGCAGGGCACGTGTGAAACGCCTTAAGGGTGAGTGAGATTCACACGTGCAAATGCCCGTGTTCTTAAGCTGCTGTGCACCCTTCATGCACATGAGTTTACTAGTTCCTCGTATACCTGGCGAGCGGCAGCTATGCGTGTGAATGGACCCGGAAGGTGGCATCGATGCCAACCCTTAACTCCACTTACCTGGCTGGCAGGAAAGCTAGAAAACTCACATGCACACACCTGGGATGAAGTCCCAGAAAAGTCAGAGGGATTTACTTTTGAGTAGTCATATTTATAGGCGCTGCACTTCACCGCTAGAAAGACACTCTGTGTTCAGTCGGACCAGAGTCCTAAGTGAGGCCTAAAAACACAGCAGGGCTTACTTCTGAGTAGGCACGTTCAGGATTGCGCTGAGATAGGGATGCCAAGCTTTCCAGGCACAGAAGCCCTTTTCGTGTTTAGAAACTGATTTATATATTCTTGAACCCTTTTATATTTTCACAAATCATTTCTTCAACAAGCAATGCCTTTCCATATATTTAATTTTTCCCCGCTGAGAGAGTAATATAAGCCTAGAATTTCTCGTGTCTGTCTGCAGGAACTAGAAACTCTTCAATTAAAAAACTAGTCAAGGGTATTATTATCATATAACCCACCCATTCACTCCGAAATAATTCATTCTGCAAACAGCCCAGAGAATTTGAAACAAACAGCCTAGTCCTATTTTTGCATCTTAGACTAGGAAACAAGATGAGCCGGGTTTACTTTCGAGTAGATAAGCGCGTATGGGATTGGAGCCTAACAATTCGACCCATGTCTTCTCGGGAAAGAAGCCCCGCTGAGTTCAGTGGGAATGGGATTTACTTCCAAGTGTCTATCGCAGGCTGCCCTAAGAGTAAGGCTGCGAGCTGAATACACGTTCTTACTCCGGAGTAGGTCCCACTGAAGTCGGCAGGTGTTACTTCCAATAAATTCTGCGCACAGGATAGGGGCTACATGTCTCTCCCGGGAATCGACGTGATATCCGAGTTAATAGGTTTAAGATTCCAGGGTAAAATTAATCTCCCACCCCGGACCTTCCCCCCAAAATAAGGGGCGGTAAAATAATAATCCGAAACTTGACTGAAGTCGCTCCCAAGTCTTGATCTTCGTTAGGAAAACAAACACATTGTCAATTTCTCCTCGCTGCTTTGCTTGCTTGGCCGCGATCAGAATCGGTCGTGCACCTGTTGATCCGAGACCCAGCCTGGCTGCACGCTGCGCCCCTTCTCCTCCTCTTCGCTTTCTTTGCGGCCGGGCGGGGATGGGGGGAGAGGAGAAGACCCCCTTCCTTGTTCTGAATCCACGAGCATTTCCCATCTTCCTCGCCTTTCTGGGGCAGTAAATTTGGAGAGAGGAGGGGAATACAGTGGTACCTCTGGTTACGTACTTAATTCGTTCCGGAGGTCCGTGTAAAACCCAATGTGGATCGCGTGCAAACTTCTTTTCACCTGTCTCTGGGGTTCCTCTTGGGTGGATTTGAATTCGTGTCTCCCCCCCCCCTCTTAGGACGGCGTCCCGCCCCCAGTTTCACACCAGTCGGGGGAGGCGGAATTACAGGATAAGGATATGGGCACGTGGAGTTTGCAACGACTAAGAGAAACAAGTCTCTCTTTTTTCACTCCCCTATTGCTATTGAAAAATTGGGCATATTGCATTATTAAGGATCTCTCCGCTCTTCTTTAAGGTGCTGCAAAGGCAGCAACTTCAGGGGGGGGCGCAAACCCCCGGGAAGAGGCGTTTCAGGAGCGCAGACTTGGCGCTGTGTCTCTCCTTCTGGAAAGGAAGGCCCATTGATTTCGGTGGAGAGACCGACTGACTCCGGAGGAAACATGCTTAGGATCGACTCCGGAGGAGGAAACGTGCTTAGGATCGGCCTGCAAAACAACATGAAGTCTCCGCCATCCTTCATAACAGCAATGATTCCAAAGGGAATGATATCGAATTCTCAGAACAGATCTGGATTTCCTTACCCATTTCGAGGTTCTTGTTAAACTCCTCTTACTAGGTCCTTTGTGGGGGTGGGGAGGTAGGAACGCGAGACTAAACCGGTTCCCTGGGATGTGGGTGGATGAGGAGGTTCTACAGGACCGGCGGGCCGACCGCCTCCCCTCCTGCAAAATAGAAACCAGAGAGAACTAAATCCAGTTTGAGGTGAGGCACACACGCACACCTGGATTTAAAAAACCGAATCTCCAAAAAACAAAAAATTGTTTTCATCAATCCATATTGTCCCTCGAATAAAGCGATGATGGTCGGCGTTGAAATGTCCTAACCCTTGAAAGTACCCAGTGCCCTTCCCCCCATTTTAAAACAATTCAGTCTTCCCTGGTTTTGAATCTTTATTCCCAAGCAGCCAACAACCTTTCTCTCTCGATTTAATATTCATTTCATTTGTTTGAGAAAGGAGCGAAGTACGTGTGAATGCACTCTCTAATATGCATTCCCCATATAACCTTTGGTCACCCTCTTTCTTGGCTCTCCCACTGGGAGAAAAAACATATTGTAAGCTTATCGGGGCAGAGACCCCACTCTTTCCCGTCCTTGTTTTGCTTATTCCCTTCGATAAGCGACCATAAACTTACAAGGGGCGTAGATCGCCTTGGCTGTTCCCTCGCTCTGCTTATTATATTTTAAATACTTTTGATAATACTCGTGGCTTCTCCCTCCGTCTGTTTATTGCCTTGTAAAATTCATTGATAAATTGGGAGTCCAGAGTATAACTTGAAAGGCGGAGAGCAGACGCCAGGCAGATATTATGAATTTTTCTTATCCCTTGAAATCTGTCCACGCTGTGCAGCTTCCTCCCACAGATCCTTTGAAACCAGAAATGTGTGTGTGTGTCTGCTCATTAACACAAATATTTATTGCACATATACATGACTGATGTTAGTGTGTCTGCGTGCGTGTAATAGATAAGAATGTTTTCGTGCGTGTACTCGTATAATGTTGCAATTGTGCCTGATAGCGTTGAAGAACTAGATTCTATTACCCTGCATAACTGATTTATAAATCCGTGTACTTTCTGAAACCAACCGGCCTTGTTTCCGAGTAACCCCCTCACCCTTTTAAAGAAATTGGGCCCCATCCTCGGACTAAAGTTCTGGAAGCCTGAGTTGTTCGGGAAGCTGGTGGTGTTCGATGCTGACTTTCAGATTTGCCTGACAAAGGGACCTATTTTGGATTGAATCGCTCCGGGCCGAGTCTCTGGCCTGGGGGACAATTCAGCAGTGACGTAGGGAAAAACATACTCAGTCTAAGCAAGCTCAGAGGCTCCACAGAATTTTGAACCTGGCTCCTTGAATTTGGGGAGAATAAGCCCTTGCTGTAGAGAAAGGGGAGGTTCTGGGGCTGGCCGAAAGGGGCTTGAATTAGGTTGGTCTGTTTTGCGGGCAACATAATTGAGACAAGAGCTTCTTCCATATATCTTTTAAGGTAGGACTGAGTGGGAGAGGAAAAGGGGAGACTCAGCGGCACGGTTTAGGGGTGCTGTTTAGGGAGACCACCCACCTTTCCCATCCAGACAGTAAAGGGTTACTCCTCCTTAGGAACACATCCAGCACTGATGATCATTAGGTATATAAAAAAATTAAACGTATCACCAGTACTTTTTTTGGCGGGGTGGTGGTGGTCCTTAATATTGTATATGACCTCTGAATCCTCTCCAAAAATATCCCGCCGCAACCCCCCCCCAAAAAAAACTGCATTCCTTAATAAGGTGATGGATTGTGCCTTCAACGCTGTATGAAGCGGGCTGATTAGAAATCCAAGGTTTTGTGGGTGGGACGCCACATTAAAAACACAAAAGAACCCAGCTAACTTTTCCGAACTGATCTGAATATCCTCCCTGATCTAAATCTGCATTTTATTACTTTTCTATTATTATTTTTAAAAAATGCAGTTAAAACCAACAGGCTGCGACTCTTGGATAACTCGGTTATAATATTGGGGGCACTGATGTCCGAATCTCCCCCCCCCACCGCCGCCGCCATCGTTTTCCGGTCCAGTTTGCAGGGAGGTGTCAGTTCCTGGGATTGTAACGTGTATTCTGCTTGTATGTGTGTATGTGTACTTCTTATCTCAAGACCTCCCTCCCCGATTCTCCAAAATTGGGCTCCCACGGCCAACCATATATTTATATTTTTTAAAAAATCTTCATTCTTGGAATAAATTCTACCAAGGTGGAACACACCTTTTTGAATGTTACAGTTTTCTTTTTTGCTCGTGTTCTTGTGTGTGTCGATGATCCATGAAAGCGATTGCCCACTACCCAATCCACGGCTGGCCACGTGCTTCCGTTTATCCCATTGAACTCCGTGCAGCATACCTGGAAATTATTCCTATGGAAACTCAGCGGGGTTTCATCGCGAGAAAGACACCCCCCCCAAAAAAAAACCCACAGCGTGTAATTTTGGGATTCCTGTCTCCTGTAGACTTTATGTCCCAGCCCCTCCCCCGAGGCAGAGCAGCCTGGAGTGAAGGTCCGGACGCACTATTAATGTCAGAAGGGTGCCCGTTTTCTGGACTTTGCAGATTTGCGTGGGGTCAAGTAGCGAGCTGTGCGCGCGCGTGGGGGATTTTTATTGTTGGGGAGGAACGAAGGGCGAGTGAAACCACATAGCCAGAATAATATCAATTGTCATTTTTAAAAACATTTTATTTTTCTAAACAAGACTGTGCTTTTTCCTTAGAACAAACTTTGACCCTTTCCTTAAAACACACACGTAAGAATTGAGAATATACATACAATAGACAGCATTAAAAAAAAAATGACCACAAACTAAAGTGGGAACCGGAGGGGGGTTGCTGGGGGTAGTTTTGCAACGCCCTCCTCTCCCAGTGTCTAAGGTAATGCATCGAGATCTTGTTTAACTGTTTATTCTGAAAACATAACAGGAATGGCAAGCACCTTGAACGCGGTAGGACTTATTTCTTATTAAAAGCAGGCAACTCTGCCTGGCTCGGTGACAATCCAATGCGCGCTGGGAGCGCGATCCTAATAATGTCTCCTCCAAAGGCCGGTCCTATTATCTTCAGCGGGGCTTACTCCCACGCAGGTGGGGTTAGGGCTGCAGCTTCCCCCGGGAATAAGCCCATCTGAACTCAGCGAGGCTTACCCTCGAGGAAACATGCGGAGGATCGCGATGCGCAGAAGGTTGCGCCAGATGCAATGGCGTTCCAAGAACTCCAGTGAACAACTTCAGCAGCGAGGCGCTGGTCCCTATGATCCTCCTCAAACTACACCCGCCCGCCCCCCAGCCTAGAGTTTTGTGGTTGTGTTAACTTGGAGGTCTGACGATATTTTGCTTTCCCGGTTGATCTGTTCCTGGGGACAATTTTCCATTCATTTCCTATGGTGCCTGGAGAAGGGGGGCCGGGGTGGGTTAGGAGGCAGGGAGGGGCATTGATTCTTGTGAGAAATGTTATTTTCATCAATCACCCGCAATTTGGCTAAGTGGCCCGGACAGAATACCAGCAGTCCCGCTGGCTGAGGTCAGAGAGACGAGGGAGCCGCGGAGAAGAGCAAATTGAGGACCCGGCAACCCTTTTGCAAAAGCGCCAAGGTCCCCAATGGCTGCCTGGCTGCCTGCGTGTGTGTGTGTGTGTAGTTGCAGGCAGAAATTGGGGGGGAGGGATAAGGAGGGGCAGACTAGGAGGGGGGCCCGGGAAGGTCCGCCATGTGACATGAGGGAAATATGAAGGACTTTGACAGGTCTTAAACGGCCTGGCGCCAGGGCCGGAGTCTGCGTGGCTAAAAATAGACGAGGGATGGAGAGAGGAGATGGGTCGAGATGAAAGGGGGCGCATGGTGGGGGGGAGGGGGAGAAAACGGGGGGGGGGAGGACAGGACAGGGACCTGCTGGGGGTGGGCAGATGTTTAGCCAGAGCAGCTTTCTCCCAAAGTTCAAGCAGCGTTTTTAATTGCCTGTGGGAAAATAATAGTAAATACTCGTTTTGCTTGTTACGCATCTCCTTCCGTAACGTTTTAGGGATCCATTTCACTCCGTTCCCCATCTCTTCCTTTGAAAGAATGATAAAAATATATATATTTAAAAAACACCTCTTTCCCTCATTCATCCAGCCGTGGATTTCCTCCTTTCAAATTAATGCGTCCTACTCATAATTTCACACACACGCGTCTTCACGTTCATTTTCTTCTCATTGCGAAGGGAATATTGGCGTGTGTTTCCATTTCCCTCGCGATCGCTCCTTCTCCTTCATTAATTCGCACACCCTTAGCTGCTGCTGTTTATTTCCACACAACTAAAACATAACAAAACCTGGAAACGATGTTAGGATCTTATAAAGGCGTGATTATGGATCTATCCAAGGATGCTAAATTTTGCTTTGAAACCCAAGCAGGATTTCCCATCTATAATATTTATCTTTCCCTCTTTTCCTGCCGTGTTTTTCACCCCCTCCCTCACTCACACAGATGTAGAGTGGTCTTGATTTTCAGCCTGGATGTTTTATCTGAATGTAATTATTCTTCGCTGTGAAAGAGGACTGAGAAATCCATTGCAAACCTTTTTGGGGGAAATGGGGGTCTCAGCTTCCCGATAGGAAGAGTGTGTCGTCGTCCCGTCGTCGTCCCCCCCGCCCCCCGCCTCGGAGCACTTATCCCGCCTGGAAAATACAGGGGTTAAAGGCATAAGCGAAGCAAGTGAAAATAAATCTGTGCCAATTCTCTCTCTCCCCCCCCCCCTTTCTCTTTTTCAGTCTTTACTAGGAGAATTGCGGCGGGGGGCGGGGAATGGAGAGGGGATCGGGGAAGGAAGTCGACAAGATAAGTTATTTAAAAGATAACCAGTCCCAGAAGGTTGCAGAAGGGGAGAGAGAGAGAGAGAGAGAAAGGAATAGCAAGGAAATTATTAGATCAAAATGCACTTGGGAAAAGGGGGGGGGGCAAAGTGGGATGTTCCAGCTTGTTGGGGGATTAAGGGAAGCTTAATATAGAAAATGGCTGGAAACTGAACTTTGTATATTCGCTGGGGTTGGGGGGGGGAGATCCATGTCTCCATAACTCCCCCCCCCATTTAAACTCCATCCCACTGCCCTGATAACCGGAATCGACCTGAGGCTTAAAGCAAACTCTCTCCCTTCATTTCCAGGCTAGCCCCCACTTCGTATTTAAACATGGTGCGCGTTGTGTCCGTCGTGCACACGGACGCAGATGTACGTGCGGGATACGAGGAATCTACAAATAAATCCGCATATATTCTATGCATAATACAATGCTTGTTTAAAATTCACCAAGTTGGGGGGCGGGGGCAGCTCCAAAGCATATACACGCACGAAGATCACTCCTCTACGGGTCTACTCAAAGCAAGCCGCACTGAGTTCAATGGGGCTTACCCTCAGGCAAGTGGGTGCAGTATTGGATTGCAAGCTTAACCTGCAGCAAGAGAATACAATTCCTGGGCCGATTAGATTGGGCTTGTTAGATTTAGGTTCGTTGATCTCTACACACACACTCACACACGAAGGGGAAATATATATATGTGTTTGTGTATTTGTGCGGGGTGTGTGTGTGTGTGTAATGTAATATTGGGGAAAGCACGAACGTTCCAAAAACATGGAGCATAACATTTAATTTTGTATACCAATCACGAAAGAGGAAAAAAGGAGCTTATTTTTTGTATTTTAAAAAATAATCAAGGGGGTGGGAATGGCAAATTATTTTAAGACGTGAAAAGTGAACTTTTGGGTTCCTTTATATCCATGGAGCGTAAAGGCGTAGATGTTGGTTCAAACTTCCACTGGTGAGCTTAAACTCCAAATGTTATCAGATCAGGGGTCCAATTTTCCTCTTCTCCGTCCACCTCCCCACTCCATTCAGTTCATGGATGAAATGAAGTAGAAAGCAGATGCATTAATTCAGTTCCTGTCATGTTTGATATGGTTGCAGGTGATTCTCCCTGCTTGGGTTTCAAAACCAAGTTTAGCATCCTTGGGAGATTGTGTGTGTGTGTGTGTGTGTGTGTGTGTGTGTGTGTGTGGCTGCTGTTGTCTAAATTGCTTCATTTTTCTTTCACAACCCACTGAGGACATTTTCTGTAGTTGGTCCGTCGCCTGCGCTTACCAGAGAGTTTGGTGGGATTCCCTCGCCCTCCTCCCCCACCGTGATCCTCTGCGCAGTTAAGCAAGCCCCATTTGCGTGGTGGGGGGTGGGGAGAGAGACGGGTGGGATCTACTTCCGGTAAATGACAACTGGGAAGGATCTTATCCTAAGTGCAAGATCCTGCGCCAAACGAGCCGCTAACACCCATGGATTTTGCCGGGCAAAAGAAGCAAGCGAGCGTTTACAGTTCTGCTGTTGAAACAAGTGAGGCATTTATTAGAGTTGTTTGGCTGGATCGTGTCGCAGGTATGCTTTGAGCACGAACAGGTACCGAGTCTGTATCTTCTTTATTTCTCACCGGCACCCGACAAACCCTTTCCTGAAAGTTAAAAATGAATTATCGGCAAAAACTGTTTCCCCCCCTTTTTTTCAGGCTGTGCTCCTGAGCGTGCTTTCCTTGCGAATAGGAACCCCTGACCTCTGTGTGTTGTGGCGCTTATTTCCGGGGAAGCGAAGCTAGAATCGGGCTCGTTTGTAGGTTCTCCCTTTCTCCGTAACAGCCTGGAATAGGGATAAAAATGTAAGGAAAGGGGTGTATTTTGGAAGGGGTGGGCTGGCTCCTACAGAGTCTGACGCTTCTCTAGATGCTGGTTGACTTTGTCCACGTTTAATAAGGGACTCCTCCTTCTCCTCTCTTTGGTGAAAACAAAACAGAAAGATAACAAGACTAACATCTCGCTCAAACTGCCCTTCTCTTCCCCGCCCATAAACAGCAAAGCCAGAAATCGCGTAGCAAAAAGCCACGTAATCGGTCGCTTATTTACACGTCGGTTTAAAATGCGCGCGGGTGGAGGAATATTGGGATCTATCATTTTCAAATCAAGGGTTACCTTGAGCAAGCAGGTGCCATCGCTACCACTAAAAAGAACATCAACCTTGCTCCCAGTTTTAAAACTACTCCTTTTTGCACTTCCTTTCCTCAAATAATCCCTTAGCACTAATTATTATTATTATTATTAATATCAATTTGCCTGTTGCTATCATGGACCGTCACTTGGTATTTGGGAAGAGTATTTCCCCCCCTTTATAGCCGAGGTCCACCTCCTGTTCTGCACTATTGGGAGCAAGAGAGCTGAGAAGGAAGTTGGGGGTGATGGGGTTTAATTCAGGAAGAGGCAGCAGGAATATCAGCAAGGAGGCCGGGACTCCTGCACCTTCAATAGCTGGGTAGAAAATGGACTTTCGGCAGCTGCAGCTTGCTACTAAAGATGTAGGAGCCTCTTTACCCTTGCTTGGTAACTGGGCTGGAGGAGCAGAGCCTTTAATTGAACACCTTTACCTGGCTGTCATAAGCCCCTTGCAGAATCTGAATTTTACCAAACAGTGACTGAATTGGCTTTGAGGTAGTGAGCTCCCCCCCCCACAGCCCACCAGGGGTCAAATCTGGCTTCTGATTTGGCTTTTGGTCATTCTCTGTCTCAGCAACAGGGTAGTAATGGCGCCCTACATTGCAGGGTGGTTGTTTTGGATTAGTGACAGAATAATATGGATGGGGGAAATGAGTGGATGAAAAATCTGCAGAAGCGCCTTCTGGACCCTGTTCTGACTAGTACCTTCACCTACTTGAACCCCATCTATATATATGGCTTTCTCTCTGTTCTCCGGAAAGGAAAGGTTGTAGGTCAGGGGTGGAGAAGCTGCTTTGCCTGCAGGAGGTCCCAGGTTCGATCCCAGGCATCTCCCCATAGGAGAGGGAATGCCCCCTCTGCCCGAAGCCCTAGAGAGCTGCTGCCAGTCAGTGCTGGCAACATGGACCCGTTGCCTCGGTGCACAACATCTTGTGGGGATGAGGTCTGGCTTTTTCAAACAGATCCCGGGGCTCAGGAAGCCTCTGCACTGGAGCAACTAAGTCAAAGGCACTGTAAACAGAAATGTTTACTGGCTGACGGGTGGGAGGGGGCAGGCAAAGAGTTCGCCACAGAGCGATCCTATGCGTGTCTATCTCAGAGAAAGCCCTGTTCAGTTCAATGAGACTTACTCCCCAGTAAGTGTGTTTAGGATCGTAGCCTCATCAGACTCAAACTGGATATTAGGCGCTCAAAAAAAGAAAAGAAAGAAAAAGGTGGGGTTATCTGGCTGCTGCAAACAGCGCACCCCCCCCCCCAATTTCTCTGCTGTGAATTAAGGGTTGTATCTGGTGGGTGGGGGGCCAATGCCTTTTCACTTCCCGTTGTCGTTTTCATTTTTTGCTCATATTCATTATCCGCATCCTATTTATTATTAATTCCCTCCCCCCCCCCACTTCAGTTCATTCCCTCCAAAATGCTCAGCGTTAACTGTAAGCTCCTCGGGGCGAGAGCTAAGGCCACGCCACAGACGCGAGGCGCGCGGCTCCCTCTCCCCCAAAAATAATCTCGGGAGCCCTCGCTTGTTAAGAAGAGCTGGGAACTGTAGTTTTGGGTGCTGTAGCTCTGTGCCGTGTAAACTATAGTATCGTCCTCGGGATTCTTTGAGAAAAGTCGCGTGCTTTGCGTGAACGATGGAGAGGCGACCTAAGGCGCCTGTTGCTCCATAGATCTCGACCCGCCCAGTAGGGATGCTGCCCCAGTTGGGGACTGGGCTGGGGGGACCCTGTGCGTGTCTGTGCGGAGTTCTATCCCCTCCCCCTTCTCTCCACGCCGCCGAGGAGCTGCGAAAGACTAGCTGGCCTTGCTGAGTCTCTCAGAAGCTGATTAGATGCGGCCATCTAGGGGTCAGGCGAGCACATGATTCCGCAGCCCGGGCAAGCGCGGCTGCTGCTCCCATCGCGGGCTTATGGGTCCTCTCCCACTTGAAGGGGGGGAAGAGGGGGGGCGGAATAACTTCCCAGAATTTGGGGGACATAAATGCTTCTCTCTATTTGTTTTTTTTAAAAAACTCCTTTGTCTTGTCGCTTTTTAATTGTGGACACTTCAAACTCCTGGCGCCAAGAGACTCTTGACCCAACTCTCTTCTCTCTCTCCCCCCCCCGGCTCAATCAGGGGGAAATCTGAAAGTAGACACACAGCCAGACAGATAGCTCTCCTTGTCAACTGTCTATGGAGTGGGAAGATTTGGTTGGGGCAGGGTGGGTGGGTGGGTGCGATCTTGAGGAGGTGGCGAGAGAGAAAGAGGTGCGCCTCTCCCCCCAAAAAATCCATTTCCAAACAAAGTAGCCTTTGCAAGCGATCGCCCTCTTGGCTCTGTTTTCTCCAACCCCCTAAGTAAATTCTCTCCCTCCAGGAAAAGACTAGGAAAGACGGTGGGCAAATAATGCCGATCAGTTGATCACGGAACAAGGGGGCGAGAGATGAGACAGCCAAAACTAATTTCATTGCTATCCATTTCTCATTTGGAACCATTTTTGGGGGGCGCAATAGAAGAAAGGAAGTTCGCTAGCCAACTTTACGCATTACATGCGAGCGGCCGGGCGCCGGTGACAATTCGTTGGGTGCTTTTAATAGGTGGGGGGGACCATTTAACCCCCCCCGCGCCTGTATTATGGGATACGCTGACGAGCTGATGTGGCTGTCAAGAGGTCAGGGCTACGATCCTTACGCACTCTCACTTGGGTGTAGTATGTTCTATGCAAGCGAAGTGGGACTTTCTTCCGAATAAAGATGCGGAGAACCGGACGGCAAAGGCGTGTTCCTAAGGACGGTGTGGGTAGCATTGGTGTTTAGGGGTAGACAAGTGGTTTGTGGATGTCAGTTTGTGGATTGCGGGGAGGGGAGGTGGGGAGAACCGCTACAGTATTTCCAGGGCTGCGATCCATCAAAAAGTTAAGCGTGGGAGTCTGGGATGTAGAAACCCATTTTAAAAAAACAATAAAGGCCCCGAGTAAAATTGGGAGCTGTTCATTCAGAGCGCAATGCTGTACATGTCTACTCAGAAGTAAGTCCCGCTGAGCTCAAGGAGGCTTGCTTCCAGGTGAGCTTCATAGGGGATTGCAGCTGGGAGCAAGTTCCAGTGGGGTCCAATCGGACTTGCTTCTGAGTAGACATGGCACGAATGCGCCGTTGGAGACCATCTAGTTCAAAATCTTTAGGTTGGCGGTGGGGATATTAATAGTATCGGAGTTGCAGAATAGTAAGAATGATTTAATAATTAATAACACATCCGGTGTGAACCGCGGCTGCGTTCACACGCGCACAAAAAGTGTTCCACGCTTTAGGCACCTTCCTCGCCTCTGCGACCTTTTCCCAAAAGCTTTTAAAAAATTAAAAATACTACGGATCGGCGCTCGCGCGAAACCTACCCCGAGGTATCTCTGAACGCGCGCCCCGCTGCTCGCTACTCACCCGAGGCTGCTTTGGCCGTGTTTTGCAGAGGGTCCGATTCGCTCCGCTATTACTTCCATTGCCCGGGCTGAATCTTTCCATCTCCGCGCGGTCCCGGAGGCCGAGACTGGGCTAGGAAGCGAAGTCTTAAAGCGGCGATGCGCACCGGCTTGCCTCCATTTTTCTCAGACCCCCCCCCCGCATGCCTCCTCCGCGTTATCTGTGCGCCCCACCCCTACCCCAAGGATTGGGAAGCCGCGAGATCTGCTCGTGGTCCAGGCAGCTCGTGGTCCGCTGGAGGGGGGGGGAGCGCATGGCCCTCTCTCCATTCTCTGGGTGGGCCCTACCCGAATCTCTTCAAAGGGTTTCTCTCCCTCCCTCTCTCTGGCTCTCCCTTCCCCCCTCCCTTCTTCCTCCCTGAAATTAAATCGCGGGGGGGGGGGAGTGGAACATCGCGCTCGGGGTTTTGGAAAAGGAATGGATGTCATAAGAAACTATAATTTGGGGGGCAGGAAAGGGAAAAAAAGAGGAAAGGAGCAGCCCTTTGATGGATTAAATGGAATAATTATATTCACGGTGTCCCTGTTCACCCCCACTTTCAAAATATCCCTCTTTGTAGGGGGCGGGCGGGAAAGGGGAACAGTTTTGGCCCTAGACCACTTGAGGGGTGAACTTCTGAAACCGGCTCGCGCCTAGTCAGCTAACGGAAGGTGTAAGCCTGCTGTCTTCAATGATATTTACTCAGAAGTAAGTCACCTTGCGCTCAGTGCGATTTACCCCAGGGTAAGCGTGATAAACTGGGTCTTCCCGAAGCCCAGGATTATTCCCAGCAAGTGGCCTGATCCACAGAACGCGTCCACGCATGGTCTACTCAGAAATACATTCTATCGGGTTATATACTCAGTGTAGACCCGATAAAATTTATGCCTGTTATTTTGCAATTGGTCTACTCTGTGTAGGACTAACGCGTTGCACTCCAAGGGGATTTGCAGCCAAATCCAAGGGGATTTCAGCCTAAAGCAGAATTTCTTCGCCAGTTTCTTTCGCGACGAAGCTGTGACATTTACTAACACCTGAATTGCATTTTCTCGGAAGTAAACTACTCCCAGAACAGTGCGATTCTAACGTAAGCTTTCCCCAAGAATGCCGCACTATAGATGCAGAATAGACGTGGAATAGGTTAGCATATTTGAACTCCTTAATATGTTTATTGTAAGCTCATCGGGACAGTGACCTGTCAGTCGCTTGTGCTATGCAGAAAAGCCACACCATGCTGTACTGGTTTCAGCAAATAATAAATACTAATTCGAATGTGGTGTTGTGCTGGGAAGCATCCACTATGTACACCCGCAGAAAGAACACACTGGTAGGCCTCCGAACAAGATAACAGAGTTCTCACGTGCAGAGGACTCGCCAGTCTTTAGACACGTGACACCCACCGGCTGGCCTTTTGTTCGCAGGCCTTTTGGGCACCAAGGCCCAATAAGCTTACAACGGGTCTCCTCGGGAGTAGCTCCAAAGTCCCGAGGCCTGTGTGAAGGGATGAAATTTCTAAAAACTTCACCTGAGAATAAAGTGATGGGGGGGGAGAAAACACGTGTGGAAAGAGACACCTGCACTAGCGTTCAAAATATACACCGAGTGGGGGTGGGGTGCGCTCTGGGGAGAGGGACCCTTTCCAAGCACCTGTTCAAGGCCAAACACTCATCCCCACAACCCAAAAAACCCGGACTCCGAGCAAAGATGGCTCGTTGCCGGCGTCTCTTCTCCAGTCCTAGGAATGGTTCCTGCCGCTTCCTTTTCCACTAGGTGATAGATCCTCTCCGTGGGTGTATTCAAGGGCTTTCTGGAGAACCAGGGTAGTGCCCCCCCATCCGGATCCTGGTCCGCAGGCCTCCGCCCTCTCTCTGATCTCCATCCCTCGCCCGGCCTGCACCCTGGTCGCTCGCGCGCTGGCGCATTCCGTGGGGCGCCTTTCCTCCTGGCCGCTTGGCCAGACTCACTCCGGGTGCCTCTGCCAACAGTTCCTGCGCTGGGGGAACGTGCCCCCTCCCTCTCCCCCTCCCTCCCCATCAGCTAGGAGCCGGGCCTGGAGAGGGGAGGGCTCCCGAGGCCTTGCCTCTGTCATTGGTTAATATTTTATTCTGTTGACATGTTTTCTTTCGGGTGATGCCTCCGACACCTTTCACCCCCCCTCCGTTCCTCTCTTATTCTCTTTCTCCTCCCTCTTCTCTCTTTCTCTCCACCCGCCCATCACAAACCCCTTTCTATTCCCTCCTTCTCTCCACCCCCCACCCCTTCCCAGCTCCCTCTCTCACCCCAGATCTTGGCCGGACCTGTCAAAACCACGCCTATGGACATCCACAATTGGTCTGAACCGCGTAAAATCCACAATCAAGGGGGGCTCGGCTCATTAAGGGTTGGCCCGAGAGGTGGAAACGCGCGGAGCGGAGCGAGGGGGGTGGGGAGGAAGGAAGGAAGAAGAAGAGGGAGGGAGGGAGAGAGAGAGAGAGAGGAGGAAAGAGAGAGAGGAGGAGAGAGGAGAGGTGGAGGAATCCGAGCGAGGAAGGGCGCACGAGAGATCGTCCCAGCGCTTTCTGCTCCTTTATTTTTTAAAAGAGAGGGATCCAGAAGAGACGCAAGCCAGTCTGCCCTGGGGCTCGCTCTCCTTCGGAGCTATGAAGCGCCTGGCTCCCGGCTCGGATTCCGGCGTCGATCCAACTCCGGAGCCTCGCGATCCTTGAGCGACCGGAGAAGAGGGGGCGGGGGTTGGTTTCGCTTTGGGTCGGAAAGGCGAAGGAAGGAAAGAAGGAAGCTCCCCCGGCTGCTGCCCGCTCGCTCGCTCGCAAACGGCGAGGGGGGAAAGAGAGCGCGCGAGCGCCAGAGAAGAAAAGGGGGGCGGCAAGATCCCCCTCCCCTCCCCACCCCACGGCCGCCAGATCCAGCTTGGCTTTCTCTCCCTCTCTCGGGGAGGGGGGTCAGGAGTTCTTGTAGGACTGGGAGGGAGGGGGACGCGCTTCTCCGCCGACTCCCCCTCCCCAAACCTTTCCGATTGCAAGATCATCTTGAGCTGTTCTTTAAAATTTTATTTTAAGGACTTGATTTTTTCCCCCGAAGGCGTCAAGACTCGCCCTTGTCGGCTGCACTTTTTGGGGGGTCCCCCCTCCAATTTGATCGGGGAGAAGGAGCTCTGTTTCGCCCTCCCTCCTGCCTGCAAGAGGAAAAAACATATAAGGACTTACCGGCCCCTCGGAGACGTCCAGAAGAATTCAAATCACCGGGACTGTTTTGGTAGTGTGTTTGTATGTGAGTCTGTGTGCGCCTGTTTGTGTGGGCTCCCCCCCCTCTGCTCGGGCTTCCCTCCCTTCTCCCCAATTTCTGGCCCCCTGCACAGGAACCCGAAGGCAGTTTTGCCAGAGTTGAGGTGGGTTGAAACCCACCAGCCCGGGGGAGCTTCTGAGAACCGCGAACAGAAAACGGGTTGAAATTCACTAGCTCTCCTGCCTGAGCTCGCAGGGGGGAGGTGTGCTTGTGTGTGTGTGTGTGTTGTGTGTGTGTGCACGGGGTGGGGGGGATTGAAATTGACAAGCAAAGCAGGCGCCTCTTCTTCTCCCCCCCCCGCCATCAACTCCCAACCCCTCCCTCGCTGGAGGGATCGGGCTTTCCTCCCGGATTTGTGGATGTACTGATGAGAGATCCAGCCTTCCCGGGGACTGCGATGGCTTACCACCCTTTCCACGCGCCCAGGCCGTCCGACTTCCCTATGTCAGCTTTCCTGGCGGCCGCTCAGCCCTCCTTCTTCCCGGCTTTGGCTCTGCCTCCGGCCGCCCTGACGAAACCTTTGCAGGATCCTAGCCTGGCCGGAGCCGCTGAGGCCAGTTTGCACGTCTCGGCGCTGGGACACCACCACCAAGCCGCCCATCTGAGGTCGCTCAAAAGCCTGGAGCCCGAGGAGGAGGTCGAGGACGACCCCAAAGTGACCCTGGAAGCCAAAGATCTCTGGGATCAGTTTCACAAACTAGGGACCGAGATGGTGATCACCAAATCTGGAAGGTGAGCAGTTGCGGGCGCCAACCACGTTGCAATTGGGAATAGCAAAAGTAATAATTGATAATGATAATAATTCATATTTTTTAATGTTAGGATAATAATTCATGTTTTGCGTGATAGCATGATATGAGCATTATTAAGCACTGATTTTTGCTAGGTAGAAGGAAGAATCAACCTTCTGCGTTGTTTCTCACGGTATGCTCCCCCACCTATGACTTTAATTTAAATGTATCTGTCATCTCTCTTAAAACGCCTTCCTACCCCTAAAGCCCTTCCCAGCCACATAAACTGGAAGTAAAGTTTTCCTGCAATCAAGGGGTTTTATTCCCAAGCCAACGCGTTCAAGGTTGGGTTAGTGTGTTTAAATGCTAAGCAGATATATCTGATTTTTGGTAAAGGGTTCTTGCTGTGTGCGCGCGCGCGTTTGTGTGGAAGTCGTCTTTTCCACGCTGAAACTAGGTCTCTTCCCCCCCACCTCCCCAATTCATGGTTAATTATTTAAACCCTATAATTCCATATTGTATTTGTTTACACGTTTATAAGAAAACTTGTTTCCGGGTTAAATGTTTCTGGCTGATAGCCTCGAAACACCCCAGAGTTGTGTGGTTTTAGCTAATATTGTTATTTTATTTTTAAAGTTCATATGTATGCATGTATTTTTTAAAAGCTGAATAATTACACTTTACATTAAAATATCCTAAAGGAGCCTAGGAGTGCAGATTGCAACCGCAGGGCACGCTTTACATAGGAGTAAGCCCCTGTGTCAAACACGGTTGACTTGACAACAAAGGGTAAAACAGGCATTAGGATCAGGCCAAAGAGGCATAAGTGATGCCAGAAATCTCCCCTTCAAAACTGAGGGTCTTCCTTACGTTCAAAGCACGGTGCTGAATGAAGGAGGGATGGTTTTTGGAGGTTTGGAAATGGATTTGAAACGCTCCCTTCCACCCAGATTCCTGAAAATTTGGGTACTGCGGTTTGGATCTGCTAAATTTCTTTTCATTTTCCGTTTCATGTTGCCTGCAGGGAAGCCCTCCGTCCTCGCTGGGCCCCCTGCCCTCCCCACCCCAAATATAATGAGCGGACAAATTTCTCGAACTTCCAGGGAGGGGGGTTTCCTGTTGTTTTATCTATTCTCTCCCCCCCTCCCTTTGCCAGCAATGCCTTCGGTCTGTTAAGAGAAGTTTGAGGTTTGCATTTTGTCTCTTTTCAGGTTAGGTCAAGGGAAATTTGGAATGGTAAAACAAGGGGCGCCCGCTTGGGCTTCGACACGACCCCTCACCCCCATTCGACATGTAGAATTTGCACCACATTTTTAAAAGAGAGAGAGAGAGAAAAGATCTGTCGTGCAGGCGCACAACTAGGTCATTCGGCTCCCCTGCCCCTGACAATCCGGATTTCAACTTCCTTTTGAACCTGGATTTTTAATCCGGAACCAGGAATCGTTTTCTTATTAATCTGCTCCTAAAATAAATAAAAAAAAGTCTGTCCTATGCACGCTGCAAATCCCATTCACCCTTACCTTGAAGTAAATCCCAGCGAAATGGATGGGATTTAGAATTTCAGAGTAAACCTGTTTGCTAGAATGGGGTTTTCGAATGCAGGAGGAAAGACAGTTTTTTTTTGAGGGGGGGGAGCTTTCTTTCAAACCCTCGAAATGCACACCTTTTTATAAAAGCAGAATTTGGATTGGTGAATTATTTTCTGGGGGGGTCTTTGTTTTCATAGAACCCTGGCCCTGAAAAGGTGGCCTAAGGATGTGCCCCGGGCCTGCATTTGAATCTGCAACCTCGTAAAGACTTTCCTTGCACAAAACCGGCTTTACTCTGGAGTAAACGCGTTTAGGGCCCCCCCCCCGCGTCTGAGAAAGAGTTTCAGTCCAGTTGGAGTGCGTGTTTACTCGGAGACCATTCCCACGGTGCGCGACTGAACCTTTCCCCCTTGAACTGTGCTCTGGGATCGCAGGCGCCAAAGACCGCAGTCTCTGCAGCCTCTTTGGAAAGCCTGCTGAACAGAGTGGCACTTACTTCTGAGTAAACATGCGTGGAAATCGCCCGCCGAGGAAGCCCTGTACCTTAAAGTCCCCTTGCCTTCAAAACAAAGCCTTAGATTGTCACGCTTCTCTCTTTCGAAAAAGAAAGGGACGCAATTCAAAACAAAAACATAAGGCCATCTCTTGAAATAAAAACCAGCGTTTCACAGTGATCCATCATGTTTAATAACGGGCACGTGTGTTTTAAATAGATTGCAGTGTTTCCGAGTTGAATTCTTGTCTTTGCGAAGAGGTGGGTGGAATGATCGTTTCCCTTAAAACCTTGTTTTTTTCTTTTTTAATTTCCTGGTGTTTATTCAGGCGAATGTTCCCCCCTTTCAAAGTTCGCGTCAGCGGCTTGGACAAGAAAGCGAAGTACATTTTGTTAATGGATATCGTGGCGGCCGACGACTGTCGCTACAAGTTCCACAACTCGCGCTGGATGGTGGCCGGGAAAGCGGACCCGGAGATGCCCAAGCGCATGTACATCCACCCGGACAGCCCCGCCACCGGGGAGCAGTGGATGGCCAAGCCGGTCGCCTTCCACAAACTCAAGCTCACCAACAACATCTCGGATAAGCACGGCTTCGTAAGTCCCTCCCGTGCCCCCTTTCCTTCTTTCTGTGGGGTAAAAAGCTGGGGTGGGGGTGGGGGGTCAGGAGAGGAGCTGCTGTTTTTCTTTCATTTAATTTCCAAGGCTTTGAAACATCCGCCCAGCCTGCCACCTCCTCTGTGCCTCGGGGATGCCCGGCTCCTGTCACACAATTGACACGTGTCTCTATCTTCAGATAATCTCTCCGCTGGGAACTGGAGTTTTTTTTGGGGGGGGGGAGAGTGGAGAGAGAATGAGAGATCAGGCAGGCATACCGTACCCTTTTTTTAAAGAAAGAAAAGCTGCGAGCTGGAGCGCAGGATTTATTAAAGAGTTCAAGTCCTGGTTGAAATGGTGGAGTTGGGGGCTTTACTCCTGAGTAAACCACCGCAAGAACTGGCGCTATGGGGCTGCTGTTGATCAGCACAGTTTATCTCCCGCAACAGGCAGATCTTTTCCTTACTCTTTGAGATTGGGATTTTCTGGAGCGCCAGGCGCTGTACATCTGTGGCTCTTTAGATCCGC